TGCTTTGAACAACCCCTCATTGCTTTGTTTCTCTCTTATTAGAGATGGGCACAAGTCTTTGAGTGCAAGTCCAAGGCAAGTCTCAAGTCTAATTCTGTGCAGCCACAAGTCCAAGTCATATCTCTTTTTGGTTTTAATAAACAATAATAATAAAAATATATGTTCATATCTCCCTATGAATATAGATTGAGAGGGGATGGAGGTGGTTAATATGGGGGTTATCCCGTAATGCTCTCTTGTAAAGCGTCTCAAGGTAACGCTTGCCATTAATTGGCTATACAAATAATGATTGATTGATGGTTAATACAATGGATATAGACTCACATTACTCAGCGTAACAGGAAAATACTGCTCCCGTTATAAGGTTATCCATAATAACTGTAAAAGTTTGAGTCCAAATGTACTATAATCACTCTGTGTCCCAACTACTGACAGTTTGTGATCTACTGTATATGAACAAATCCCTCTAGCCTCTCAAATGCACTAAGCCAGTAACATGAAGGTTATGTGGTCAATAATAAACCTGTACTCTAAACCTGCCTATAACCGCCATTTATAATTAATGTGTTATTTCTCACTGTCACTGTTAAACATTTACTGACTTAAGTTAGATTTTTGCATTTCAGCTTCCATTAGTTTATCATTATTATCAGCATTAGCTCCCTTGTCTTGTTTTTTTTTGGTTAAAACCAAAATTCTGCAATAACTTTTGGACTTTTGAACATGAACAGGTAGCGCAGGTACCAGATATTACCTCAAGTTAATATTTGTTTTTGCTCTGGCAGATAAGCAACGTCTCCCTCAAAATCTGACATATTTTCATTGGGGCCTTTACAGCTTAACCAACTCAAGATAAGAAATGAGTTTTGGTTTAAACGCCCCTGTAGTGGCTATTTGTCCAAAAAACAACAAAAGAATCTAAATAAACTCATATCAAAAATAATCAAATGACCACTGATGCACCATGGGGATGTAATGTATGCAGGCAAAAGAAAATCCAATGTCCATGCAAGAGCTGTGGTTTTTTGCTGGTTTATTTGAGGAAAACAAACAAAAGAACAAAGAAAATCGTGGCTCCTGCTGCCTCCCTTGCTCTGGTAAAAAACAATAGGCCCACCCAGGTGCATGCTGGTCCTCTACCTGCCTCTTACTTAAATAATCTCCGGTGCCCACAGTATTACCCAAATACCTAACAAAATTACTAATACAAAACTAAATTTACTAAACAAATAGCTAGCAAAATAAAACATTACCCAAAATCTTTTCTAAATAAAGAAAACATGTAGAATAATTAAATAAACAACAACACCCAAATATTAGTAAACTAAATACAAAAACTAATTCTAACCACAATTAAATAGCTCCAACAGCCCCGTTGATATTACAGGTTGCAGTCGAGGGAAGGACCTGGTCACAAATGGTACCAAGAGAAGAATGATGCAATACAATGAGTCAGTGTGCATTTGGGATGCTTACAGGCAGGTTTTGGCAGGTAAGCAGGGAGGCAAACCGGTAACAGGAAACAGGCAGGAAGGTATGCAGGCAGGAAATTACAGTACAAAGAAACTCCAAAATGAAAAAAACACAAAGCAGTCTGAAAGGACGCATGTGGCAAGGAGTACCTACTGGCTGTGAAACAAAGAAAATAGTCCTGAATATACAATATATGGAGTGAGGCTGTTGAGTGAAGTGGAGACAGGTGAGCAGGTGGGAGGGGGCGATAACTATACAGCTGATTTATAACAAGGAACAGGTGTTTGGGTGGGGGAAAGGAGGGAACGTTCGAGGGCATCTGGGAGAGAGGTAGGTAATTGCAGCAGGACCAGGGTAGGGAAGTACATGGAGAATGAGGAAGAACAGGGGAACCTATTTTAGGCATTTCTGTTGACATCAAAGATTTTTGATGCTGATCTGGAATGTTCTGTCCACTTTCATATCAGTACAAAAGCTTGAATTTCTGTTTTGATAGGGAAATGTTATTAATTTTATAAATAAGAATGCTATTTCTCAGCTGCAGAGTTGTCTAGTAATGCATCTTTAACAGGTTGTGTACAATATGGACTCAATCGTAACACACAGTAGAGCAGGGCTCAGTCATAATGACTTTTTAAACTTCAGCAGGTACAGAAATTAACAGTTTAAAGATAAACTCTCTCAAGTTTAATGTCCGGGTTCGACACTGTTACTGTCCCATGCATCAGCACACAGAAGGGGGGACGTGCAAGGGGCAAGCAGGAGGTGCCAGGTAATAATCCATATAATCACAGTCTAAAGTGTGCAAGGGGAAAGGAGGACAATACCAGGTAAAGTGTCGTGGAGCAAGGAAGTAAATGTCCACAGGCTGCATGCACAGTGAACAATGTAGCAATGCAATGAATCTTTGAGCCACAGGGATCAGGTAATGAGGAAAACTCACTCTGAGTCTGAGGTGTTGTTGCTGGGAAACCCCAAGCGGGTCACAGAGGCAGACAGAAATCAGGGTCACAGAGGCAGAACTTGTAGTCAGGGACAGAAGGCTGAGGTGATTTCTGGGGATAACAACAATGCAGGCAGGTCAGAGGCTGGTAGGGTCAAGTCCAAGAATCAGTCCAAGAGTGAGTGCTGGGAAGTCTTGCATGAGATAAAAAAAAGAATGATCTGGCAGTAAGTGATTGAACCTGAGATACAACTGTGACAGCATCTGGGGCCTTGAAATCTGGTTGGCTACACCTGCGGCCACCCCAAAATCTCTAACTATGATTGGTTGTTTGACTCTTCAGAGGCAAGACTAAAATCAACAATTTGGGCTGTGTTGCAAAAGGCTGGTAGAACTTTCCTTTGTATTATAAAGTAATACATTTTGTTAAAACTTCTGTGACTTTGAATAAACATCTTTTCCTGTAAGAACATCGAGTCCTGTAAGAGTATGCATTGAATATGAATTTGTTCCATTCTGTTTGCTTAAGAAGTCTTTAGGCCTACTCGGCAAAGTAGATGCACGTGTAAAAAAACTTTATGCCTCACCTTCATAACCCAGTGCCCAAGTTGGGCAAGCTGCAGCCTGTTTAAAAAAAATCCTGCAGTTTGTTGAGTGTCCACATGGCTGAAGAGAAGCCCTTCGAAGTCACATACACACCCATTCAAAAATACCTGTATTTACAGAAGAAATAAACATGTTCAAAATACAAAAGTGGTCTTATTTGGTAGACACAATGCAGGTGGACAAAAACACACATGGCACACACTACACATCAACCCTGGACACAAAATTGGAGAGAAACGCTCATATTTTGGCAGAGCCTCAGTTTAACAAAGGCAACATTGTTAGGGGCGGCTGTGGCTCAGTTGGTAGAGTAGTCGTCTCTCAACCAGAAGGTCAAGGGTTTGATCTCCAGCTCCTGCAGATACAGGTCTGCTGTGCCCTTGGGCAAGACACTTAAACCCAGATGGCTCCCACTGCTTCATTGGCAGTGTATGAATGCATATGAATGGGATTAGCTACTTCTGATGGTCTCACTACATCGCAACCACTGCCATCAGTGTGTGAATGGGTAGGTGTGACATGTGGTGTGACAGTGCTTTGAGTAGTCAGAAGACTAGAAAAGCACTATATAAGCTCAAGTCCATTTACCATTTTGTTAAAATGTTCCATTACATTACATAATTTATGCCAGTTAGAAGCATCTTCACATAAACAGCTGGATCTGAGGTGAGCCTTAATCATCCTCACAAACCGCTGCACTGTGGCCGCTTGCAGTCAGATCGACCTAATAACACACAACTTGTGTCCTTCATTAAATCAAAACAAAAGAGTTGTTAAAAAATAAATTCAGATCCCTACTGTGTGCATATAATACATTAAAGAACAAAACCATTTTGTGCACCAGGCTGTAATCATGTCAATTTCTGATTTAAAAACAGACATATTATTATGGGTCATGTGTGGGACTTCAGGGACTTTTTGCTGCAGCCTCAAGAGGACACCAGAGGAACTGCAGTGTTTTGCATTGGCTTCATTTTTCAACACTGGAGGTTGCCGCTTGATGATGTAAGTATTATCAGTACTCCATTAAGATAAAGCCCAGCCTCACTGATCTCTCTGTAGCCTATTCTTGGACCTGTTTTAAATTCCATTATATAAATATATGATAATATTAGTTTCCATATGTATCCCGCAGCTTGACACTGACAATTTTTCTGAATTAGTGTATATTCTTAGTCATTTTGTTTAAAAATACAATAAATCAACAAAATGTTCTTGTACACTTATTTAAGCCTAGAACAAAGAAAATGTACGCATTCAAAATGATTTTAATTGTATTTACATATATTTATTTATTTAAAAGTCAACAAACAGGTGTATAGTAATAACAAGAAATACTTGAAGGTGTTTTCTCTAGAGGGAAACAGGACACAGTCGACCCTCCCCCACTTAACAATGAAGAGCAGAGGCTCAAATTACAGCAGAGCAGAGCGAAAACACACTCACCTGAAACCTGTCCAGGCATTCATTTACAACAAATATATATATATAAAAAATGTTTTTGTATAAGGCAAAGTTGAGTATATTTTGCAGATCAGAAAATACTTAAAAACACAAAGCTAGAAAATAATTGATTTGCATAAATCAAATTCAAATATGAATTAATATCTTTTAACTGAAGAGTAGCCTATATGTGAACCTTGATATTTTATTTATTTGTTGTTTTATAAATTATCATACCCTGCAATTTATATTTCCAGTGAGCTACAGTGAAGTTGATGGGAATATTTTATCAACTCTATATTTTTATTTTGTATTAATATAACCTACTGTAATAAAGTGGTGGATTCTGAGAATACGAACAAATAAAATCAAAAACAAAAAAGTCAAATGAAAAACATAAAGGTTCGATAGTAAAACTACAGGTAAAGAAGATACGTTCCTCTCTGTTTACTTGACAAGATAGGTCACACCTGCCTTACATCAAGGTGGTGGTATTAGTGGTTTTGCCGTGCGCATGCGCAGTCCTCCTCTCATCAGTACTACACTAAGGGCTTCCCGGGTAGCGGAGCATGGTTCAGTCTACAGTAGTATCTGGACCGGACCGAGGCGGGCAGGAAGCACACTGACGAGGCGGAGGCGATGGAGGACAAAGAGGAGAAGAAGAAAGATAAAAAAAACTCCTCCAAGGGCGACGGAGTCACTCTGAAGAAAGAAATTGGACTTTTAAGCGCTTGTGCTATTATCATTGGTGAGTGTTGTGACAGCGTTCTGATCTGGTATGGTCGTTCCGGTGATTGCAGCTAAAAGGAAAAGTGAGCCGGCTATAGCTGAAAAACAAAAAAAAAACTATTGTAACATGACGAATGCTGCTGTTGCTTTGTTATTTAAGTTAGGCTACAAGTGGACACACAATAGGAGTCAGACACATTAAGGTTCTGGTTTTGTTCGGGTCCTGTGGACACTGTATGGACATTGTAGTGAGACTAATTGAACAAAAGTGGTTTTAGAGTCTATTGTATGCACAGAGGGAGATTCCCCTGTCCTGCACTGCTGGGTCCATCTGATGTCTGGGTCCGGGTCCTGGTTGCTGGTTTTGTGTGGAAACTGTTGCATCAGTCGGGATGATCTGAATATGGACATGCCTACGTGGCTTGAGGTTGAACTTGAAAGGCATGCAGACAAAGCCAGCCTCCCCCCCCATGTGCTTCTGTGAGATAATTGAGCAATATCACTAAACCACGGACAGGGTTTGGGGTTTCAAAGCAGGGCATCATGGCTGTCACTTCATCTTGACATTGCTGTAAGTCAAGTCGTGCTGCATGAGAGATGATCTTACGTGTATAATACTACAGCCATAGAGTGGAGATGATTATAATAGAGGAAGCTGCGCGGTTGCACATGGTTTCCTGTCAAAACTATGACGTCTGTAACTGTATTAATGCGTGGAAATCCGCTCATCTGCAACAGTGAACTCAACAGGTTGTACAGTATGTACTATTACAATCTGACAGTAATACAGAGGGTTTCCCCCCCTCATGCAGAAGCAGCTGATAACCTGCTGCTGGACTCAGATCAAGTCTTTATATATTTCTGGAGGTATGAGGAGGACATGAAGTTGTGAAGTTATTCTTGACTTTGTATTGCAGACTGTCTCACAATATGGGCTGATATCATGCCTAGTTATGAGTGGTAGGAAACACAGGGTAACGCACCATAAGATGCCTGATACATAATATATTTAATATATATAATTGAATAGTTTTATATATTGCAAGGCAAGCACATAAAATACAGCTCGATATCTGTTGAACTTCAAATTTCCTAATGAGATGTGGATTCTGTTTTATGCGTTTTGACTTATTCATCGTAAAACTCCTTGTGAGGAGATTTAACTGGTTTTTAAAACTGACTGAAATGAATACTGATGCCTCTGTATAAACAGCAAACTGAACCTTAAGAGAAAAAGATAGACCCTGTCTGTAGTCATTTATAATGCCTGTATCTGCCTGCAGGGGGTTGGTTTTAGAAGAAGTGAAATGCCATGCAGATTTGAAGTACCTTTCTTACATTTTCCACCGAAAAAGATTCAAAGACACAAAGATCGATACACACCTGAATTAACTCACAGCGGCTTCAACTTTCAATGCAATAAAAATACAGCCCTAAAATTGTATGAAGGGGGAAAAACTGATACTATAGTTTTCTAACATTACATGATAATTTACCTAAAATCAGCTGCCCTAAAACTGTAGTTCTAGTTGTTGTTTTGGATAAAAAGAAACTTGTTTTTTTAGGAGGGGGCTTATAAATGAAGATGTGTTGTCGTGAATTGAAGTGCTTGTTGTTATGAGATGCTTTAAAAAAAAAGTTTTTTGGGGGGCTTTTTGCCTTTAATTTTGTAGGACAGTTGATAGAGTAGGAAACCAAGGAGAGCGAGTGGGGAATGACATGTGGGAAAAGAGCCACAGGCCGGACTCAAACCCAGACCCCTGCCTGGTGGACTATATCCTCCGTACATGAGGTGTGACCTAACCGCTAGGCCCAGTCATCAGACACTTTTAAGGCTGTGACACTTCAGATACCGGCTTTGGTTAGTGAATGACTCCAGTCCTCAGACTGACTTTAATTAGACGCCTTCAGTGCCAGAGAAAACATGCAGTACTGCCACGACTTCCACATGTCCCAAGTGTATCATCTCTATCGACGTAATCTCTAAATGATAAGGTCCTTAACCACAAGTAGGAGGACCCCTCCAAGTACAGGATGGTGAAATGTACCAAAATGCCTGTGAGCTGAAGACAGATGTGGGACATTATAGTCTGCTGAAATGTGGTTTCCACTGTACTTTCAAACCATTTTGAGTACACTCTGTGCCTGCAGCTCACAGACGCCCATTTGAATTTAGGCATGCTGATAATTGTTAAATATGAATTTCATTTTTCAAACACTTCTTACAGAGCAGTTTCCAGGTGACTTTTAAATCAGGGCAAATGACAAAATAACTTTACATGAGATTTTAACAGAGAGTGGAGTAATCTGTTATTACTTTTAAAAGATTATCTACATAACCACGGCCGTGTCTGTTGTAAAGGTATCAACATACCATTATTTTCTCACCAGTTTTGATTCCAATCCACTTGAGATCTCAGGTGTACCCTCTGACACCAAAGCCTAAAGACATTTTATATTCAAACAGAAATAGACTGTAAGGTTGTCAACATTTTCAATATTTTTCGATAGCAGCTTAGCTTTAAAAACAAACAAACAGATTCGAACTGCCTCTACGGAAAGCCAGAGAGAGCACTGTCCGAATAGAAACTTTACCAATGTATTTGTACAATTTAGAAGGAGTTTGATGGCAATTTTTGGAAATACATAACAAGAAATTACTCAAAATTAGGTGCCAAGGATTTCTGTTTTTATTGCAAAATTATTGAAACAAGTCATTTTATTTTTATTTTATCGTATCTAAGGTTAAAAATACAGAATTCTGACAACCTTTGTGGTCTCTACAGAAGAGATGGCTATCATTGTTTTAAGGCCTGGCTCAGGACTTAACCTAAACCTTAATCTAAAAACAAGCTGTGCATCAAGAAACAAGCTAAGCTAACGTTATACAAGCTGTAGGAGAAACTGATTTGAAACTTGATAGTAGGGATGCAACAATTTTCAATATGATATTGAATTGTTCGGTACGTCATCCACGGTTCATTAAGCTAGTTGTGTACACCTTTGTGTACAACTCGCTTCCATGCATTGTATTTCTCTCTGAATTTACTCCGTTTTGTGTGTGCCTGTCAGTCCATGCGCTGGAATGCGAAAACCCGTTGTGTGAGTTAATATCACCTAAGCTGGGGGAAGCTGACAACACTAGTATCAGATTACACACATTACTTTTACATGGCGAGTGGCGAGGAGAGGCTGCAGTGTGAGGAAGTAGTATCGTCTTTCAAGTCGATGCTGTGGAGACATTTCAGTCTCTGTGTTGAGTTGAGTGAATGACTAAGAGAAGACGGTCAACGAAAAAATGACAAACAAACTTTGTTTTAAGCGAGTCGCTAACTCAACTGGAAACACTTGCAGAGGTTGGCTAAGTTTACAACAACAGACTACAGCCGGCTGTATCTGTACGTGGAGCTACTGACACCAGCTCATCCCTGCACGAGAGCACACAGAGTGAGAGTTTATAGAAAAGATGAAGCAATGAAATATCAACGCTCTGAAAGTGAAATGCTGCGGAAAAAAATCGAAATATACAGTATATATTTTAAAAGAGTGAAAAGTCCTCCTTTTTGTACAGCGGGTCTGCATGGCACTACTTAAACGCTGCCTTCTTTTCACTGAGACGACACACCATACACCAGGACTGTGTATTCTGGAAAGTTGTTTTACTTAAAAGTAAAATAAAGAAATAGTTTTGGAATAAGAAAATAGCTTCTTTTTTTTTTTTAACCCCTTGCTGTTCCTGTGAAATTAACATAAAAGAATAGAATACAAAAAAAACAGTCCAATGTCAGAATCAAACCAAACCAAAAACTGAAAAAAAAACATGTGGTATGTATTGAACCCTGGGCTGACTGTATCATTGCATCTGAACGTGATACTGCTTTAAAGGTCCCATATTCTTCTTTTTCTGGTTTTATATGCGCTTTAGTGTTTTCCAAGTGTCCTGTGCATGTTTAGGCACATCTATGTGCAAAAATTCAAAGTCTGCGGAAACACGGCTTCTCCTACGTCCTCCTGTTAGCTGTAGCATTAGCTGCATGTAACTCTCGGTTATAGCCCCCCCTCGAAAATAGATTGCCAGTGTGACGTCTTGTCAGTGTGAGATCACTGATCTAAGCCCATTGGCTCGTTGTGGCAAGCCCTGCAGCTCATGTTGCACGCCCACGATATGCCGTAGGCTGCGGTAGCACAGTAGTGCGAAGGTGCTAATGTTTTTGCTCCCCAGCCCTCAGAGCCAGAGTGGCTGAGCGACTGACCAATTACGGCAGAGCCGACAGGGCGACCAATCAGATCAGACTTGGCACACGTGGGGACTCTGAACGTGGGCACTTCAGAGCCTTAGAGAGAGAGTCAGAAGCGAGCCGGTGCATGGAGTGGCAGTTCATGAAAACAGACACTTTTTTAAAACTTTAGCTATTGTGAACATACTTTAGTAGGTACATAGATTAAATATATGAACCCCAAAAAAGGCAGAATATGACCTCTTTAAAATATATATATATATATATATATATATATATCTCATAACTTGACAAAAAAGAAGCCGTGTGTGATTTGAAAACTCTGATTACTGTGTTTTGCTAGCTTTGCTAATGTTATTCTCGGCTAGCTGCCAAAAAATAAACATTTGCTGCGCAAGCTGCTATTTTAGAGAAAGAAAGAAATGTTTTTGGAGGGTTCAATAGATTCAGATATTAGATGTTGAATTAACTTATACTTGATTAAATACAGTATTGGAGGTATATTTCATCACTGTTATCGCTATGGGAACAGTTCTATTTTATTCAGCTTTCACTGAGTGTTACATTGCCCTAGTTATTACTCATTCTCTGGCTGGCCCATTTAACTCTTTTTCTTTTTTGACAAGCAGTAGCTGTACAAATCTCTTGCTAAGCTCCCAACGAAACCCCTCCAGGTTGGATTAAAATTTAAAATATAACAGAGAGCTTCAAGGGTTAGCTTAATTTAATACTGCATGTGTGAAATGAGTTCTCAAGTCACTCAGATTAACACAACAGTTCAAGTGTTTTCTGCAAAGCACAGATGGAGTGAAGCCTTTTCAGCTAGCACACACACACACACACACTCAAGATGAGTCATGCTGATACCCACCAGATACAGCCTACTCATATATCCAACACCTAACTCTAGGAAAGGTTTACTATCAGAGTTGTCAGCACACACGGCTGCTGCTTTACTCTGTAACTTCTACTGTCAAATGCCAGACAAGATGGTCTCTTACAAACGTGAATATTCTTATATCCCATGAATCACAAATGGTTTGACATTTATTCCCACACAACCAGCCTCACGTCAACTCCAACAACCACCTGTTGACTGTCTCCCCTCAGGGATAAGGACTGTTATTCAAACTAGCTGCTTCGTGTAAGCTAACTGGTTGGGACAGGTTGAGATGCAGTTACTCTTCTCCCTGATTTGAATAAAATTGGCTGTACTGAGAAGTGCTTTGGAGAAATGTTCCAGTTGCATTGCGGGGAGGCAGAGAGGGTCAGTAGGAGTCTGATTCAGCTGCGATGCCGAACTTCATGATGTAACAAACACAACATTAGCCGATTATGCAACGGCGCTGCATCTCACCACGGCCTACACAATCGCATCTGACAGTGATAGATGCACTGTTCGGACCACCCCTCCTCTGTCTCTGCATCATTAGAGAGAGCTGCTTTAATGGGGCACGCTGTGGTGGTGTGGTTAAAAGTTTTATAGTGGACAGGGTCACATTTTTTGTGAGGGTTCTTTTCGTCCCCAAGCTCTCCAAAAATAAGTAAAACATTGACACCAGCGAAAGGCACGTTTTGCTTGGACAGCTGCTGTTTGTTTTTTAAAGTTGAATATTTTTTACGTTTTCCCTTCTTGTGGTGGTGATGTGAATACCAGGCTGAATTTGAGCTCATGACATGGTTTATGTAAGAATGTGACTTACCTCACAGAGCCACAAAAGGGAACCTGGTTATCCATGTTTGTGGGACAGCTGAGCCAGGGTCTCACTGAGCTATGTTCAAACAGATAGGCCTGTGAAAAATGTCATTAGATGTGCACTTGCAGGCCTGGGATAGGTGTTTGTTCTCTTTATAAAAGTTTGATATTGTGTATGTCATTTAAAATCACAAAATCTTTGTACCTTGTGATTCTTTAAAATGATCAGATATGATACAGCTAGAGAACGCCACGTCTCTTCTCTCTTTTTTTTTTTAAACTTGTAAACTTCAACCAGACAGCTGCCAGAATTGGACTTGACAGAAAAACAGAAACATGTTCAACAGAACTGTAAAATCCTGAAGCGGCATCATTTGCCTTTATTCAAAGTGAGACTCGGTATGCACACATATTTGGTTATTGCCCTTACTCTGCAGAAGACTTATCTATTTTACATTGCTTATGAAAATAAATTCCGGTATTTACCATACTACATGTATATTCCAGATTAAATCCAATTCATACTCATATTCTGATTATTAAGTGCTTAGTTGTTGGTTTGTTTGACAGTGCATTTGGTAGTAAGTAAACCACGGTGGAAAACCTATTCAAGACCCACAGAAGTGGACATGTGGCGTTGTATACCAAAATAATTCTAATAAAACCTGAATAAAATAATCAATGTTTTAAGCAAAAATGCTACATTTATAATACAGCCTTATAGGTGATGAGGTATTCTGTTTGCATGCTGTTAGATGCTGTCAACTTCCATATATTGTCATACTAGAAATGATAGTGGAAAAAATGATACTGGAGTTTAAAGAATACACAGGCTTGACTATTCAATTAGTCAAATTGAATCTTAGGATTGTTGAATGGGCGGGCTGTGCGATCAATCCCAAGTCAATCGTTTTGTAATATGCAAGAAATAAGAAAAATTATGATGTAAATAAGTTTAGCTATATTTTCTCACTCTGCATGAATACATGTCACCTGTCGGATGGAGGACTGAGTATAAAGTCCATGTGGAATTTATCAAAGATCAACCATGAAAAAGCTCAAATGCATGTTTTCTTTGCAGAAGTTGATCAGAACATTACATAGCCGGGCTTTCCTTCTTAACACTGTTCATCAGGTGCCATCTCTGCACCCTGCCATACACACGACCAGACGAGCTAACCTCAGACCAAGTGGTCCAGCTATCACAAATAAGCCTGGTAAAGGTTGACAGACGCCTCAGCTTTGGAGGTTTGTTAAAATCAGAATTAAACCTAAAAAACAGACTGTTCACTTGTATACTGTTTCCCATACCTTCACAGATTACATCACAACAAACAGAGCACCTTTTGTCACTTCTGCCTTCAGGTGTTTTAGTGACTGATAACTGAAAATGACTAAAGTCTAACTCGTGAGCTCATTTATGTTGTCCTTCCATAATAACTGTCCTTTTATTTCATGGACGGCTCTGCTTTCTGTTCTGTTCAGCAGGATGGTAATTAAGAGGCTTGTAAACATTTTGGCAACATTTGTAGTCAACAAACAGTTGACAAAGATGACCTTTGACCTGCATCATTTTTCTAATGAATGGAGTCGTGTCTGTTAGAATATTTCAACATCCAAAAGCTGTTAATACCAGACTTCAGCTGCAATGTAAGAAGTATTTGTTTAGATGTAAGAAGAAGAGATTATTATGTAGATGTTTTATTTTAGTCAGACTTCTCTCCCCTGTTTCTTTTATATCCCGGACTTTTCTGTTATCCTGAATTAAACATCAAGAAGCTGCGTATTGCAACGTTTTAATATTTAAGACAATCAATGCAGCCTGCAACCCAAATGTATTCTGTCTCTAAATATGGATTATTTGTAACATCTAAGATTTATTTTCCTTGATGATAGCGTTAACAAAATCCCTTAAAAATCCCTTAAAATTGGCCACAAACCAAAAGAATATAAAAAAAGACAACATAATATAACATTGAAATGTTCAGGTTATCTCTGGAGATCACACAGGTCCTTTCATGAAACAAAAGTTCAAACTGATCCCTGAGGATTTCATTTAAATGGTTGTGATGTTTTAATAAGCCTCTTGAGAGTTCTTTGCTGTTTTGTTTTTTTCTTTTTCCAAACCGGTTTTCTTTTGACCCTTTGAATGTGGGTGGATCTCTGAGAAAGAAATCAATGTAATTTAAAATGACTATATTGGTGTTTTCACACATTACTTGCGCACGTAATGAAGCTGCTTCATCACAAACAGCTCAGGAAGATTATCAGGGGCGGGTTGTCCCGAAAAGTTCTTGAACTTTTCAGAAGTGCATGTGTGAAAAGAGTTTCTGAAGGCTTTATGTAGGTAGACCCACTTTATGCTCTCAGAATGTGCATACAACTTCACCCACTTTAACCTTTGCTCTCCTCTTTTTAGGAAACATCATCGGCTCTGGGATTTTCATCTCGCCGAAAGGAGTGTTGGAACATGCCGGGTCAGTGGGGCTGTCGCTCATCGTCTGGGTTTGTGGAGGAGGGATCTGTGCCCTTGGGTCCATGTGCTATGCTGAGCTGGGTGTCACCATCCCAAAGTCTGGAGGAGACTATTCATACGTGACAGAAATCTTTGGCGGGCTGGTGGGGTAAGTTTGCCTTTTATTTGTCACATCTCTGGATTTATAACCTTAGACTCAGCGACCGTTCTCCCTCTGAAAGGATTATACTGAAATAGTTCAGGGTTGCTACACAAGAGACGGTTGAATAGGTTCTGCAACCGGAATCAGCTTTGAAGGTCTCGTGACTTTTATGTAGTCATGTGACATGTCAGCTGATCATTTAGTCATGTGGAGCAGAACTGTAAGTTTAAGAAGGTCAAACGTGCCAGTCTCTGAGTGTGCCTGTGAAGGAACAAGTTAAGTCCTGTGTGGCATTGTGTAGCTCATTCATTACAGGAACAAAACGATTACAAAATAACACAGAAATAAATGTAAATCCAAGGCTAATCTGGAGATTTAACTGCTGTGCCACACTCAAAAAGAGGTTATAAGCATTTAATATTACTCAGAAATTAAGATGCATCGACTTCAAGAGGCAGAAAGAAAAGGAACTATAAATCAGTGGTTCTCAACTGGTGGGTCGAGACCCAAAAGTGGGTCGTGGAACCGTTTTCAGTGGGCTGTGAATGTGTGCCTGGAAACAAAATGCTATGAAAAAGTATTTTAAGTAAGTTTGTTTCATTCAGTTTCTTTGTTCTATCATGTGTTGTACTGTCTGAGGTCCAAACTGCAACATTTCTCTTTAGATAATAATCATAAAATAATCTCTAAAATATAAGAAATTTGGGTCGCGAGTTTTCATGAAGGATTAGCTGGTTCCACTGAACCATTAGAACCACTGCTCTTAATCCTAGAAAACATTTTTCCCACCACTTGAGGAACTGTTGTGAGTGATATCAACAGGGGTGAAGAGTTAAGAGAAACATTTAACTCAAAGAGGTGATTCCTCTCACTCAGTAAATTGGGTGTTTTTTTTCTGGTTTATTATGTAGCTTCCTGTTATTATGGAGTGCTGTCCTCATCATGTACCCGACCACACTGGCTGTCATCGCGCTCACCTTCGCCAACTACGTCTTGCAGCCGGCCTTCCCGAACTGCTTGCCTCCGTTCATCGCCACCAGACTACTCGCCACCATCTGTATCTGTGAGTATAAAACAACAGAAACCCCTATAAGCCGTGATTCACGAGTCATTTTGATAGGTTTAACTGGGAGTTGTTAAATGTCATAACTTCACATCCAGGAGTTAATCTGAGGATAAGTTTCTCCTTTTTTTCCCTCTTCTTTCTATAAATGAATGATGAGTTTTATCAGTGTGACTGCTACTCATGATCTCAACCACATGGCTTCTTGTGTTGATTAAAAACAAACAGGGACATAAAACTCTACACATAAAACACAACTACTCTGCGGTTGAAGGTGTTTCCAGCATCAGAGACTCTTATTGCCTCATTTCATTAAGTATAATGTCTGATGTCAAACAGTAACTCATCAAGCTGGAATTTCAAGTAGCAAAAACTGGCAAAAGTTCCGACCTATACATTTTCTAAAGGGCAGTCGGTCATCTTGCACCACATCAGCACTGCAGCACTCACACTGAACTCCATCCAGCCTAACATGTTCAATTCTTAAAAACACATTTAGCATATAACCTGGTGTTTAAGATGCACTTTTAGTACTTTTTTTTTCATCTAATAAGTGGTCTGCATCCTAAATACTGGTGCGACCAATATCCCAGTATAACTTCTGAGACATGTGCCGTCATGACTGCAAGTGCAACTGCAGCCGACCTGTACATTTGCCCTCAGTCATTGTGTTATTATTACAAGCAGCCGCTTTGATGTGCATAAAGTGCTGGGATTCAATGCAATGCAGAAAAAAAGAGTGTGTACACTTTTATATTATTTACAAAGACCCAACATTAATCCACCATGAGCACCGCACGGCCAGAACCAGACTCATGTTGAACAGCCATCTGCTGAGACTGTGTTGGGCTTGGAAAAATGGGAAAGGGGGAGATGCAGAAAGGAAGAGATGGATAGGGAACAGAGATGGGCACTCAAGTTTGAGATCTGGACTCGAGTCGTCGTAGAAAAATGTGACTTGAAACTTGACTTGGACTCGCTCCTTGAAAACTTCTGAATCGACCCCCGACATGAGGTGTGAGAATCAGGCCCAATCTTTTCATATTGTATTTCTGGTGTATTATAAATACTTTGAATGTCAGTCGTCATCATGTGTGCGAGGGGCCACACTTCACATATGACTCGATGATGATTACCGAACATCGGCTCAGCCCAAACACACTTGAGATGGTCGCCCAGGTTGTCTGATTTAGGAGAGGCGCTGCCTCAAACCCCAAATGATTATAATAAGCCCCATCATATATGAAGGAAAAAACAGCACAAGCAACTTCCCCACCCCCCCCCGCTTCACCGCTCTCTTTTCCTCGCTCTACCACTCGCTGAAATGCACCATCAGACACAATGACAGCATGACAGAAGTCTTCATCTGCAGTAACTTCTCATTAAAGGTAGATTTATATGATTTACATTGTGGTTGTGAGTTCTGTTGTTTACTTAACGGCCCACGCCGCGTCAGACCATCGCCTGCATTTCTGTCTGTTTCACAGACACACACACTGACAGGCAGACAGACGGGCTGCAGCGTTTGATAGAGAGAGAGATAAAGCAGAGACAGAACTGAAAATGTGTATTGTAAATAACTCGTACCGCTGCTCCTACTAGCTCTACGACTAATAATACTAATGATTAACTAATGGAAGCTGAAATGCAAAAATCTAACTTAAGTCAGTAAATGTTTAACAGTGACAGTGAGAAATAACACATTAATTATAAATGGCAGTTATAGGCAGGTTTAGAGTACAGGTTTATTATTGACCACATAACCTTCATGTTACTGGCTTAGTGCATTTGAGAGGCTAGAGGGATTTGTTCATATACAGTAGATCACAAACTGTCAGTAGTTGGGACACAGAGTGATTATAGTACATTTGGACTCAAACTTTTACAGTTATTATGGATAACCTTATAACGGGAGCAGTATTTTCCTGTTACTCTGAGTAATGTGAGTCTATATCCATTGTAGTAGTCCCCTCTCAACCTGTATACATCGGGAGATATAAATATTTTTTTTATTATTATGGTTTATTAAAACCAGAGGAGATATGCCTTGGATTTGCGGCTGCCCAAAAAAGACTTGAGACTTGACTTGGACTTGCACTCAAAGACTTTTGCCCATCTCTAATAGAGAGCAATTTGGGAGGCCATTTGTGCCAACGAGCCAGAGGAACCTACGAGACAAAGAAGCTCCTCTGAACATATGTGGTTAGTAACTTAAATGGTAAAGAAAAGCAAACCAGATCTGCACATCGAGAAACTCCCGTTTGAAGGATTTATTGATAAGTGATGTTTCGAGCCAACATGCTCTTCCTCAGACTTGGCTCGAAACGTCACTTACCAATAAATCCTCCAATCGGGAGCTTCTTGGTGTGCAGGTCTTGTTTGCTTTTCTTTACCTATTCGTGTTTTTGGACCCATTTAGGGAGGTGCATGTCTTTTTTGATTTTTCATAGTAACTAAATGGTACATGAAGATTTTCATGTGCACCTTCTAGTTTTAAATTCTGGGTTTAGGAGTAAGGTGAGAAGATGACATACGAGACAAAACCAATCAACCAAGTGTAAACCAATCAACCAAAAGTTGGTTTACACTTGGTTGATTGGTTTTGTCTCGTATGTCATCTTCTCACCTTACTCCTAAACCCAGAATTTAAAACTAGAAGGTGCACATGAAAATCTTCATGTACCATTTAGTTACTATGAAAAATCAAAAAAGAAAACATTGGAAAACATTTTTCCCAATACTAAAATCTCTGTGCCGTGCACATACTTATTGTAACATCAGCTGACAGATATATTGGTTACATAATAAGATAGCCTATTATTATTAGAATTGAACATGTTTCTTTTTATTTGAAGGAGAGATGTGAAAGTGGTGTTGTTCTTCCCCCATTAACTCTTAGCAACGAGTGACATTTAAGATAGTGTTAAAAAAACTCTGAAACTGAAGGATTTATTGAAAACTGAAATGGTGGCTGTGTTGGTCAGCTCTTTTGATGCAGAAAGTTAGAATATAAAGATCATGAGTTGTTGATGGTTGGTCTAGTCTGTAATCAGGATGTCCTCTGTGACAGGCTGGTTTACATTCCTGTTGGCTGTTGGCTGACCCTCTGGTGTCTGTACCTCTCTCACCATGAATTCCTGGTTCACAGTATCACCCCTTCAGCCCTCCTATCACTTTACACACTCAAGTCATCTGACTGTTTGACCCAGAGTAACTCCCAGTGAGGTGAACGCCAGAGAGAGACTACTTTCCAAGGATCAACATCACAAACAACAACATGTCGTCAACATGTCATCAGGTCAAGGGTGCAAGGTTAAGACACAAAAAACTTCAACTACAGAAATAGTGGATGAGCATTGAATGATGGCAGACTATAAATAACTACTGGAAAAACAGATGGAGAAAGGAAAACACAGGAGTATTACATTTCTCGACAAATCTGTGAAAATTAGATGTTGTGATTGAGTTTGAACAGGGCAGTATCACTGTTAGTATTGACTGTCGGCACAGAGCCCGCAAACCCAGATGAAGAGCGTAAAGCCTGATTTATACCTCTGCGTTGAATATATGGTGTAGGTTGGTGCATCCTACATACGTAGCCTGACGTGCACCTCCTCAAAAATGTAACTACATGTCGAAACAAGGACCCCAAGCCCTGTGATTGGTCAGATGTGTAGCATTGTATTGGCTTCAGGCATATGGTGTGTCCTCTGGTGTGAGATGAATGACCACAGACCAACCAATTTGTCAAATCTACTTGCCAACATCCAAAAATATCAGAAGTGTATTTCCTCATCCATGTGTCTCTCAGTGGCTAAAAAAGTTTTTAAAAAACTCCCCCGTCCTCTACCTCAACTGATTCAGCTGCCAGCAGCCAGTGTACATGCTATGGCATAGATTTGAATATAAGAAATATAAAAACTGGATCAATTTTAACGTGAATCTGCATGATTCATTGTTTGACAGCCTTTAATAACTAGGGATGTTCCTAACCAGTCATTTCCTGCGCTCCTACGAGATGCCATTCGTCCACTGTGCTGGTTTACATTCAGAACTATCAACCAATGCTACAGCCCTGTCCAGTGGCTAACACCTAACACCTAGCTGTGTTATACTACTTAAGTCCATGACTTGGACTGTAGTCTAGGACTTGACTCGAGTTCTACTCAAGCTCTTATTATCAGGGCTCTGAAAACGTATTTATCGATAAAGACTGTTTATTTATTTCTGTTAGTTTGTTGTAAGGCTTTGGAGCGAAGGCTGGCTCATGTGCGTTTAGCAGCAGCTTGTATGTCGTGGTGATGCACAGTCATATCACTGTCGATTGAGCCAGCAGGTAATAGAAATTAAAATTCTGATAATAGCAGATAGGTTACAGGCATTTTTTCAGATTATTAGACAGCTGCAGTGATCCCATCACAGCAGAAATGATAAGCGGGTCTCCTCATTAAGAGATCCACGGTGCACATGTAAACACTATCCACAGTGCTGGTAATTAGTTTATAATTTAAATCTCCAGACACGTCGACACGATCTGTCAGTATCTGATGTTAATAAATGAAATGTGTTTTCTACACATCCAAAAGGTTAGACGAGGCTCCTTCATAAAGTAGAATAGTTTTGGAGGGAAACAGCAATCTTTCTTATAAATCTTGAGCTCTTTCATGTCTGTGTTCAAAATGTTATTTTAGATTCTAAATGTTTTTTAAAGTCCTTTCTGGAGAGTTTACTCCGTCATGTCAAATTATAACAGTTAAAAACACTTCTTAATTTTGCTGCTTAAAAATGTCCCACAATAAGTAAAGAGTTGAAGAAGACATTCATGCATCTCACATTACATGTATAAAACATATGATACAATAAAGATATCATCTAGAGCTTGCACAGCTTATCATAATGAAGAATAATGTAATGATCTTTTTTTAATGACAGGACTCCTCAAAGCAAAACATAAAGACTCAGATAGTACAGAGTAAAAGCCTCAGCATAGAGCCATTAAA